CTAAAGGATGGAAAGTGATTGATGCTAAAATGAATGAGTGTATATGAGGAAAAAGAACAAATCAACTAATCAATGAAAATTTCCAAAATTTTGAAAGTGATAAGGTACTTTCATTTGCACCATTGTGATAAACTCTCAGTGATCTCACGAAGTCCTCAACCATTGCTTCCAGTCACTTTGCTGACATTTAACTGGTAGTTTACATGACTAACACCAACCGTTACAGATTTTCTGAACTGGTAACACGTTTGAGTCTCGTCATCCTTTGCTTTCTTCCAAGCTGATACCATATTGGCTAATGTAGTGTGTCGAGGTATCTGGTGACTAGGTAAACATAATGTATCTTCAGGCCAACTCAATTGGTCACAGTTCATAATCTCAACTATTGACTTACTTTTTTTACTGAGTAATCTGTGATGCCTTCACCACTGCTCGTGCAGTGATCCCACTGCACACGAGGAATGATGCGAAAACAACTGTGAAATGAAACTAGTAACTTGTGAATATTTTTCACTTTAAAATGCTAAACTTTATTGTATGACGCTTTTTGAAGGTGGTTGTTTCTGGTCTCTATTTAGTGCTAAGAATTAGAGAATTATCCATACGCCAAGCTGTGATACACACCGTAAAATGTTTCTCTTCATCTAAGGTATTATCTGTCGGTAGCCGATTGTCTAACTGAACATCACCTACCGGGAGGTAGTTTGTGTTGAAGTAGACAAAGATGGGAATAATTCAATTGTTACCCCGGGTCAGGCAGATTTCATTTATATGAATTGTTTAATCAGTCTATCCTGTGATGCAGTTAACAGTCTAAAAGTAGTAAATGGTCAACATTGTCTTTTTTATATTGAACGAAACATTAAATAGTGTTGCAATCATTCTGTTGAGAATCATAAGGGTATCCTTTTATCTGTTACATGAGACTAAAACGCCTCCTACTTAGTTTCTTTAGAAGGGAACTTTTGTAGCCAATTCCTCGACAAGAATACACTTATCTCTTGGTATATGGGGTAAAGATTTTCCCCAGTTGTATACCATCTAGTTAGTGAAAATTATCATCTTCGAATATGACTATTTTAAATAAGGAAGGCAAATTGATGTCAACAAGTTGTTAGTAAAAACAGATCAAAATCGATATTGATTTAGTATTCGCTGAGCTTTGATACTTTGAAGTTGATGCTGAAGATGTCACCAAATCTGGTGATGAAACGCTCACAACCAAAATATCAGAGAACAGCAAACCACCATTATCCTCTCCTTGGGATACAAATGTTTTCCATCATCTCAATATTTAACTCGAAATATACTCATCATTCTTGAACACATTCGTGCAGAAGTGAGGAGTATTGACACTACCTGGCTGCTTTAACCTCGATATGTGAAATGGGGATTCATCCTGTGACCAACAGGTTGAAAGTTAACTGCCTAAATAAATGAACCACAACTCCAGCTGGAAAAAACATGACCCCACAAAAGGTTAACTTTCTCTATCAATGAATATTAGAAAACAATTGATCTTAGCGAATACATATTTCCATTGAAATCTCATGAATTTTTTAGGCACTATAAAGTAAACATGTAGTACTGACAGACTAACAAATAACTCATATACATACAGTAATTCAGAAGAGGGCTGGAGTTCATGTTACGTAATGATGGATTTACGAGTTAAACAGAGTTAAACTAAAATTGATGATACACATAAGAAAATAGGTCCGAGGTAACCTTTTCTTCTCTTGTATCAAGCATAAATTCTAACTGCCTGCAAAAGTAAGATAATCATATACAGTAAGCTTTCATTATTTGATTACGTTGTTTTATTTTGTATATCTCAGTCTCTGATTGGATCAGTGAAGTTAAGCACATCTTTTATGTTGTATCTAGATATAATTCACTTCACTTATTCTAGAATTCCAGCTGAATATGTAGAATCAACCTGGTACGAGCACTGAAATGTTTCACATTGGTCTAAGTTGTAATCTATCTCTATGAATCTCTGTAAGACTCTGGAATCCTTAGGTATTGAAGTTCCTGTATGCTTTAAACTATTTATATAGGAAAGTGCTTGGCATATTTCTTTTTTCGCGTCGGTTTCAATTGTCATACTTTTTATTGCTGTCATATGTTGGAGTTTAAATCAACCGTCTACTGTAAACTACATCATTCTTCACATAATCATTCTTTCCCATTGGGACTATACCACCTATAGAATTAGTATCAGTGGAAAGCATGGTTTTGTTTTTATGTTTATAATATGAAGTCGTTCAGTTACTTCGAAATTCTATACCTTCATTGCACGAAATCTATTTCTCTAATCATTTACATATATTGGACAAACTACTTCTTCCCACTCATTTTTACATCTATTATCATTTCAACCTTTGTGAACTACATCGTTATTCTTCAGCAACACTATCACCCTAAGGGATAATGAGCTATTCGGTGAGACATTAAGAAAAGCTTGAGATGCCGGCGGTTTCTATCTTAGAAACAGACTTACAAACAAATAAAAGCAAGGTAGAACCTCATACGCAAGTGCTTTGTTTCAAATTGCCACACTTCACAGCAGTAAACAAAAGACAGGTGGATAGGAAAAGCATGATCTAGAAGTAGATAAAGTTGTATGAGAGGAAAACAATTTAGAAATAAGCTTTAGATGCATACGAATGAATACATCTGTACCACTGCCATCAATTTTCAGCCATGTCATCGTAAGTTCTCAACCCCTGATTCCTTTCGTTTCGTGGACCAGAGCCAGACAGTTTACATCTCTCCATACGACTTAAACCAACAGTCAGAAACTCAATCTACTGGAATCAATTCTTGGTCTAGACACTCTGAACTCTCTTCCAACCTAATCCAATATCCGTCAGCGTGGTATGTCGAGGTACGTGGTGGCTCGGCATGCACAGTACATATCCAACCCATCTTAGTCGATTAACGTTTGCAACCTTATCAAGCGAATATCCCGTTTTACCTATTACACATCGTTTGACTTCAAGATTGCTCACACAGTGATTAAAAAGTATAATATTACATGTAGTTAAAGAGTATCAAAAATATGTATAATCTGAAAGATATTAATTTGTGCGGTAAAAAAAGAAAAAACAAAAATAAATCGGTGTTCATTGTCTTTCTAATTTTAAAACGAAATATTATTATCTTTGCCTGCATTGTGTACTTTTCTACTCCTAGAACATATTCCATTGGAAAATGTTGGCACAGGACTTATACATCAAAAAAATAAACAGGATGAAATTATGCATGATAGTTTACAATCGGTGTTATCTAGGAAGTTGAATTCAAATATACCAAAACAATTCCTGGGAAGTAGCCAATATAACGTTATCCAATCCTCATTTCTAACAATGTTTAGTCTATCAGTTTGAAAATATTCCAAACAGAAGGAACCGATGGTATTGTGCAATTTCGTTAACGAAAGACGCTTGGAGGTAATAGTCAAAATAAACTGAAATCAGGGTTCATCCTGGTAGTAGTTTGCACAAAATATTTCCAAGCTAAAACATTCATGACCAACTGAAAAAAAAACATTACTTAACAGTGCAGCTACAAGGGGTAGTGCCCTTTGAATGTTATCTTCCATTAATAGCTTATCTGACCTTCTTATTGTGTATTTCAGTGAATTAATCTTGAGCGTACTTATTAAATACATGAACAATGACAAAATGGAGTGACTTTAGAGGCCACCCTAGCAACAACTGAAATAATCAATCAGACTTCTCTATTTTATGAAAATTTGCTTTTCTAACCGAAACGAAGAGACCTAATCGGTTGTTTCGATCGTTGCTAGGGTGACCTTTAAAATCACCCACAAAATAACTCCCTGATAGGAAGAAAACTAACATATAACACCATGGGAGAAGAAGGTATAAGATTAGCCAACTAAAATTGGAGTAGAATACTCACTTTATGCTGAAAAGTTTGATAAAGTACACACTTCCGGTAACGTCAGGAAGCGAACAGTCATAAGTTTTCAACCTAAGTTCCATACTTTTGCCGCCCATAGGTGAAGCAAGTCGACAACTTTGGAGAAACTTGTACTACCATGAAAACTCATAAACTTCGATAGTCATTTAAGAAGGCCTGATGGTTATGTTGATTGCCATTTCGAAAACTGCACATTATTAATTGGTGATAGTTGCAAAATTGAAACTCTTGCATACCAGTAACTTATATTCTGTGAGAGTGATAAACTGTAAAACTTTTCAGTGGTTTGAACCTTCCTCATTCATTTTACAAAAGTTAATCTCTTTGGTTAGTAACATCCCTTAGTGTACAACACAAAACTAGCTATATTCAACTTCGAATATTGTATACAGTTGTAAGGCATATATTCTGTAAATTTCAAATAAGAAGAAATGACATCTTTGGCTATCACTTCACTAAACACGACCAGCTGTTAACACTATAACCACATGTTTTTTTTTCTCAGCTTAGCCATTATATTATGTCCAACCAAACTTTAAGAAATATCTTCTTTACAATACAAAATTTCGTTGTACAAACACAAGATTTATAAAGATAATGAAATGTTACAGATAGTTAAAACTTATTACAAACTATGATTATGGTCATCTAAAAATATTCTAGTAATGCACAAATAGCCTCAAGCGTTACACTGATTACGCATCAAAACGAATAGTGTCAACCTTTGACTAACATTCGGTGATCTCACTGGTTCTGCCTATAAAACAAGATAAATAAGTTTTCATCTCCATGGCTGGTAGTAGAACCTACAATGTGTGTTCCGTTCTCTTTGAGATTTATAATACATAGAAAGTTCTAAATTGTGTTATCAGTGTAATTCTATGCTAGAAATAATTTTCTTTAATGTATAATTAGTATACAGTAATCGAACCACTAAGTGATGATAGTCAGTTTTTGCTAGCAATGAATATTTTCTACATTTTTATGCTAAATAGATAACTAAATGAAATCAAAACGGTGCGACAAGAAAATCATGGTAAAAGTCGATGCACAGAGCATATAACTTTTTGTTTATTTATAAAAAGAGGGATACTTAAATATACATGTAAGTAGTAAAAAAAGACTCAATAAATAAGTGATCAACACTGTAATATATCAAATACTTGAAATAAACAGTAAACAAAACTGTAAAAGTATAAAAATGCTTCGGAAAGATAAGAAATGAAAAGGTAAAACGATATGAAAACTTTACAGTTCAATAACTATTAGACTAGAATAACAGACAGACCAATCAATGTATAGTTTGTACTCAGTTTCACTCATACAAATTAAACAAATATAACTTGCTATTCAAGTCAAAGGTTTGAATAGTATGTACAAAAGGATAATTTCTTAGGCAGACAGAACTCAACCAATGGCTAGATTTGAGACTCATTAGAATAACTAACCAGCTGAACAGCTGACTCCAAAATTCAATTTTATGAAATTAACAGAAAAGTTATTACATTATGTCCTAAGAAACACAAAGAAAGCTAAGAGTGTAGAAATAAAAAAAGAGGCGATTAGTTGGGCCTGAATACATTAGAATATGTTAAGGACAAAAAAGTTGCAATAAAACATTTTTAAATGATAGAAGTTGGAATATAAAGGATATAGGAGAGAAAATCTCAAAGGAGAAGATAATGAAAAGAGAAGCGAACAGAAAGTCCACTTCTTATATACAACTACACCCTATCAAGCATATTAATTAATTTATAGATACGTTGTAGACGCTTTTTAATACGCAGTGCTGACAGACGTAAATCGGGTTCATTTCCCCAACATTCTGGTAATAATACAGCGAATTGATTAGCTATTAGATTTTGTAACTGCATAATTCTTACTTCATCTAGATCAGGTGACTTTTTATTTTGAGGGTTTAGATTTGTATGATTATTCTGCAGTGATGATGCACCAGACGAAGACGAGTCTTGGCAACTTGTAGAAGCTGAAAAAGAAAAACCATGCCATATACAGGTTCGAGATGTTAATACATAAGTACTGTAAATTGTTTTAAAAGAATTATTATCATATCTTAAACATATGCAAATATACAGTGAAATGTACTATTGCTTTAATTGATTATAAGCTGGAGATTGATAAACACATTTCGAAACTGTCCATTACTGCTTAGCAGAATACATTGTTGATAATCTGAAGCTGATAGGTATAATTCACAACCCTAATAGGCAAGCATAAAAGCTGGTATTCGTTGTGGACTGACATCAGTTGGAGAAGGATTGGGAACCTGGAAGCACTAGACAGCTGTTTCTTCCTAGTATGGGACTCCTCAGCAGTACGCACCCACGATACCGTCAGGGATCGAATCCGGGACCTTCAGGTTCCGTGACCAGCACGTTACCATTCAGCCACTGGGTCAAAATCCAGTGGTCCATATTTTCAACTACTGTCAGTTTATGAAACAGCGTGACCACCACCCAGTGTCGTGTCTGAGTATTTGTCCTCACGGCCATTACATTTGCTCCACAAATCCCGCAAATTCAAACATTGAAGAGGTTATCAACATAAATTTTCACCACCATACAGAAAATCCTTAAAAATGACCATTGGGCTATTAGCAATTTAACTCTTTGGATAGTATGATCAATTAAAAAACACTAGCTGAGCAAACACAAAACTGTATTTCTTGTTTAATAAATAAAGACCAATGTTAATAAAGGCCAATCAATATCCAAATATGACTTGATATTACTGTGGTCTACAATCGAAGCTGTGACATCGGATATGAATATATGAAATTACAGGGTAACAGGACAAAAGATGAAGAAAGGAAACAAATATGACGAGTCATTACTATTTTTTTTCCCTTGGGTTCTTAGTGGAACATGAGGCTTCAGTAGCACATCTCCATTCAACCCTGTTCTCTACACTTTTTTTTAACCTGGCTTCACGACAGCCAAGAAGCTCTCATTTCTTCCTCACACCATCTCCTCCATGTCACCCTCGGCTCAGATGCCCAACTCGCCGTTTCCCATCTGGGTTCCACTCGAGTGACTGGCCTGGCGCGTGATGTTCCGGAATGGCCTTTTCACTGCATGCCCAATTCATCTCCACTTCCTTCTGCATATTTGTTGAGAAATAGGTTCTTGGTTGGTTCTTCGCGGGGCCAGCCAGAGTGAGTTCCTTGTTGCTGATTCTTTCTGGCAATCCATCTGATCTTCAGTAACGAGCCGGTGTAGGCAGTTGATGATGAATATCTGTAGTTTATTGGAAATGCCTTTCGAAACGTACCAAGTCTCTGAACCATATAGAAGCACTGACTTGACTGAGATTACTATTGGAAATTCGGATGTTGTTCATGCTTTGTGCTGAGTGCAGAAGATCTCCACACTGATTTCAGGTTGATGAACGCCTGTCTCGCTGTTTCCGATCCTGGCTTTGACATCCTCGTCTGTGCCACCTGTAGTTGATGAGTCATAGGAACATATAAAGCTAAATGGAGATAAATTTGTATAAATAAATAAATGTGATATAGTGGATGCATTCACACCACTGAGACTGTCTTTCTATTACATCGCCTGCAATTCTCTAAACATCGGTTACGCTTATCACCTAAATCCCAACCTGGAGGTTTACATTTGTCTTCAAATTTTGAAAATAGAATCAGCGATTTTTTGGTCTGGCACCACATTTTAATCTACTCATCCTTAGATTTTTGTTAACTTTACCCACATCGAGCTAACACGACTCGCGAAGTTAGACTGTGACTAGGCATGTATCATACACGTTCAAGATGTCTCAGTTGATAAAGTTGTAAACCTTCATTAGCTGACTTAACTTTTTTAATGAAAACTTTATGTCTCGTCATCACCTTGTTTACATGGTAGTCCTACAACGAGTAAACGATGTTACAGAAGTTAGTATTGTCAAACACCTGAAACCTTTTATTCTCCTCCCACCCATACTGGTCATTTTTCCCATCCATAGAGTGGAAAGGAGAGAAGTGGTACTCAGTAGACTCAACCCCTGATAGTCATTCTGATATATTGCAGTGCTATAAGCGATGCAACTTATCAAAAGTCAATGAAGCCTTGTATATTTATGCCAAGTTTTCATTGCCTACTGAACCAGCTGCACTGGTCTAATTTCTAAAGTAATTCAAGTAATCAAATAGATCAACTACTTCACTCCCTAGTTTCAGATGAGATATTTAATGGAGACCAGTCTTAAAGCGACCATTTATTTTCCAGTCTTGAAAAACCCACGATAATCGTTATAAAACTTTAACATAACGTAATGAGAAGACTATACATCGTTTTATCAGGATTACGTCATCTGCATACTCTGAGTCGACTAAAGAATCCAGTAGAAGTGAATAAATTCTGAACACCTCCGAAAAAGCTTTAACAGACAAGTGTACATATTTAATAAGATAATCATCTAAGGTATGAAAAAAGGATATGCGTTAAAGAAACAAGAAATGAATCATGAATAATGATAATAATAATAATAAGCAATGTCAGCCACTTCGTACAAGTTGGATTACCACCACAAAAGCTTGATCTGAATAATATGGTATCATATGATATATAATGTCGATACGAGAAAGGTTTAGATGAGAAAGGTTAGTGGTAAATTTCCTAGTCTTGATTGTGTCATGTTATGAAACACACATGGAGCGAAAGTATACTACTGAGAAGACATGAACTGCTATAAGCCAACCACCTATGTTCACCTACAAATTTTGCTGGTCAGATCATAGTGATCTTAATACCAAAAAGTAATTTTGACTAGTTTGTAGCTAGGCTCACCAAGTATGTCTCCAGTCAATACTCGAAACTTTTGTGACAATAATAAGACTCTTAGTTGGATGGAGGCAATCTGCAGGAAGCCCTGGACTTAAGTTTCGCGCCCGTTGGCACTCATCAGAAGGCTTACCTGCAACTTCAACCGAACTGATGTCCGCTTTGGAACTCGAACCCGGGTCGCCCAGTGTTGTAATCACAGACGTTACCACTGAGCTATTCAGGGTACGACTAATCTCCTGTAGGACTGCATTAGATACACTGATTGGTCACTGGAGGGTAACCAACGTCATGTTGTCTAGTCCTAAGTACTGACTGAATTCTGACGATCATTTTGCAATCGGGTCACCAGACTAGACAGCTCAGCACCATGATGCACTTTAATGAGTGTTAGTTGGATGGGAGCAATCAGAAGGAAGCCCTGATTAGCTGGCTGCTGCTGAAGTGAATCATAGTCATCGACAGTAGGAAGCCGTTTGATCTGTGGTAAATCTATTTTAGCGTGTTGAAAAACCGGAGGTAATGTGGAGAGGTGCACGCGGTCGGGCGACGGTGGGGTGTCTTTTTCGAGAAATGCAGATGACTCGAGAATGTCGCTTCAAATGAGTTCCGCATCGCAGAAACAGACAACTAGGGGGTGGGGTAGCCAGATATTGTAGGAGATTGTTCAGAGGTCAGCCAGCGAATCGCCAGGCGGTTGTGAGACCGCTGCTGCAGTGGTAGACGCAGTGTTCGGAACGTTGTGTGAGATGAATTGAGACGAAGTAGATGAAGGGAGATGCCATGCCAGCGAAGGATAATAAGACGGTGTTTGAAGGGTTTGTTAGAACGGCTGCAGAAGAGCTGTTGAAGGTAGGCATAGAGTTGGCAATCAGATATCAAATTCTTTCTCTGTGTGGACAAACGTCTGGATTTCGTCCAGTTCCTCCTTTTGGGACTGCTTTTAGAAAGGATCTTCCCCAGTACTTTCTGGTTGTATTCGGCAAAATGTCAATGTCGCAGATGTAGGAAGAAACGTTGGGTCAAAGAAAAGCTATAAGTGCAGAATTAACAAGGAAAGATACGTCTTGCTGACGAGTGCCAACAAGCATAAAACCCAGGTCCAGGGCTTCGTGTCCAACTAATATATACATAATTTATACTACGAACGGTAAGCCACACAAATACTGACAAACAGAGGAGAACTAGATTAAACATAAAGAAAAGAGACCAGCTAACTAAACTTACCTAACTTATCACCGTCGGCATTACTCATTTCGGTGGTATTATTTTGATTTCTGTTGTGCAACTGTACGTACATCACTGCCTCGATTTCATTAAGAGACTGAGTGTTTTGAGGAGAACAGAAAGTCATATTTACGGTATCGACTGTGTTCATTGGAAATGATAGCGGCAAACGAGGTCTTAACTGTTGTTTACATACCAACTGAAACATTGTCACAATATCTGGCTCCTTATTCTGGGACAGACAAGTAAACAGAAATAGTGAAAAGTGGGTGACTATTAGGTTGTATATATTTCGTTAAAAATAACCAACTTGACAGTCCTGTACAAGTTAGTTCATTAAGCCGTAAATCAGGCAACTACAGTGTAGAAAATAATGTTATTTACTTGTCCAACCAAATCTAAGTAAGTGAAGTGAGATTCATACTCATCGCACAAAAGTGAAAACTGGAAAAAATAAGTAAAAATTCTTTATCTTATCGACTAACTATCAGTAGCATATGTAATTCTCAGTCTAAAATTGTTGTATTACATGTAAGCTGATCTACATGAGTTTTAAATTTCAGACAATAACACAAAATTGCTCCACAATATTTTCTTCAGTAAATCACACGAGTACTTAAAAGTTAAACATACTTTGCAAGTAGTATTCTTAATTGTCAGCCATATCCGTAGTAAAAATGAAAACACAAGAGTTCTTTAACGACAAAAAAGAAATCGCCAATTAGCTGTGAAATGTCATCAAACTTATAAGACGTTTTTTAGACGCAAAATATGTATGTATCTTTGCTTCCTTCATCTTATCTTGGACGATGCAGTAGGAAGGAGATGACCCCAGTGATCCAAGTAAGAATCTGAATGGATTTTACTTTTAATCTGAATATTCAAATATCAACAGCTGAGATAGTAACCCAAAGGTTACGCAACATTATATTGCGTTCTAAGTTCGTTGGTTTAATGAGATTGTTGGTAATCAAAAAAATCTATACGTTTGTAAAAGGATGGTGGTTGCATTCTAGGGGAAATCTAATTCGTAGTGCAATTTGAATTGTCGATAATCGAGTTGAGATCCTGATGTGATCTGAGTTTTGCTTTGTGTTCGATCATTATTCAGATATACTGAGATTATTTCGCCAAACCTAGATTGTTCTATACTGTTCAGTCTATACTATATACCGTTTATTTTTAAAACAAATCACAGTGAGGGAAAGTGTCAGTAAGTAAATATCCCAAGTATATAGGGATACATTCTTCCTATAACTGTTTTAATCACTAACTGAAGACAGAATAAGAGCCGCTGAAGACGAAGAAGTACTGGATAACGATTCCATTCCATCTGTGAATATCTGAGCAGAGAATATGACTGACTGACTGACAAAATCAGCGCAGAACACTGCACACAAGTGCATCGGCTCAAGTTGTCACAATTTATAATGGTGCACAGAGAACAGGAGGACAAAAACAATGGTGATGTAAAGAAGACAAAGCAGTGTGAGATAGCAAACAATTTTGAGATAACTGTCAGTGCCAATATTTGGGCTTTAGATAACAAGCAGTGACCACATCTGTGCCACTGTGACCGATTTTCAGCCATGTCACCAAGAGTACTCAACCACTAATTCTTTTTGTCTCGGGGACCCCAATAAGGTAGTCAACACCTCCTTAGATGATTAGAGCCAACAGACAAAGGCATAATAGACTGATGGCAGGTCTTTATCTCGCTACTCTGAACCTTCCCTCATTCAACTTAATCTAACTTCTTTTATTGTGCCATGTCGAAGTTGAAGGCGCTATGGCATGCATGGTACATGTCCAAACCATCTCAGTGAGTATCCACAACCTCACAAACGAGCAAGCCCAAGATCCTCACGTTTTGCGTAGAACACTTTATCACCTAGCCACTGGGTTCGAACCTAGTGGCGTAAGGTTTCACACTTCAGTGAATTCGAGATATTACTCAAACGTCAGCATATTTCATCAACAAGCATGTATTGCTTTTCTAATCAAATAAAAAAAAATTAATATTTTATTACATTTGGATGCAGTTACTCAGTAGACATTCAATATGCCCTATCAACATCTAACAGAACTCTTATCAAATATTGAAAGCGAAACGTCAGCAGAACAATAGCTGTTATGTAAAAAAATTCATTAATGTACTGTAGAACAATAGTGAAATGCTTTTTCATACAACATTTTTATGAGTAAAATAATCATCCATATAACTCATCTATCATGTAATCTATTTCTCATATGCAAGCATTGAAATTAAATCAGTCTCACTTCATTTTCTATTAGAACCTCATCCACCTTGATAAAATTTGGTGTTTCGGTAGTACATGAAAGTTCAGATCTACTTGACACATTATTCGGGATAATACACGAATGTGTAAGTTGTTGAGACGGTAGCGAATCCTCAGTACCAGATGATGCGATCACATTATTTCTACCATCACAGTTTATTGTACACTTTAACAATGTTAACCATTCATCTTGATAAACTGGTGAGTATACCATATTATTTGATTTGAATACAATTGATGGACCAGAATAAGTTAAACTCATTGAATCAGTTAACGATCTCTCTCTAGATGATATACTGCTGGACAAATTAGGTACACTGCATAAATCTTGACCTGGCCAAATTGATTTTGGTAGTGCCCAATTGACAACTTCCCATAAAATCATAGCCAAAGAGTATATATCAGATTTCTGATAGGATTCAAAGCAGAATGGATTAATTGATTTGGATAACAACTGAAAACAAAGTGAAGAAAATCAAAACAAGGTGGATTTATATAAACTGAACAATAAAAATTATTTTTCACTAGGCAATAACTAAAAGGACATACATTTATGGGTTGTTATGCTCTACCTCTTAGTACTAGTGACCCTGGCAGTGACAGTGGCTTGCACGACTCCAAGTCATTTGAATCTTGAGTAAGCAAGCAGAATGCTATAGGCTTTAGCTAGGTGTATGTTTGTGTAAAAACTGCATAGGTTTATCATTACGGCTACCGTGAATACACGAAATACTCTGAAGGAGTGACTTAAACTAGTAGAAATTTACATTACAGATCCGACAACTTAAATGAGAAGATAAGAAAGGTTAATCACAGAAAGCTGTTAAGGCTTTTGAGAAAATGATTATTGTATTACAATAATGATGGATAGTGGCTAGTAGTGGAATTCATGATGAACGTTTCGTCCTTATTGGGACTTGTCGGCTGGTTGTGCCTACCCCACTGTTCCCCTTAACACTCGAACCCCGGACTGACCCCTTCAAATGCCAGAGCTATACCTTTTAAGCCAGTGAGTCACAACAGTCACTTCTTATGCGACGGGTATAGTTTTTCTGTCGTTACTTGCTTCAGCCCATCGTTAGTTGGGCCGAAATAACCGGAGTCTATGGGAATATGAGCTCTTACATGGGTGCCTCGATAATACCTGTGCTTTAATTTTATACTAATGATGATAAGTGGGAAAAAACTCGCTGACTGAAATGCACGTGGATCCAGCTGACAAGTCCTAAATAAGACAAAATCCAGGTCCTAGATCCCACTGCTAGCTACTACCCATCATTAATATCACGATTGAAAATACAGGTAATATAAACATATCCATGTAGGAGCCCATGTGTCAATGAACATCGATCAACGATGAGATAGTACAAGTAAAAACATAAAAATGATTAGTTTATTATTGGTTGTGACGATTTTTCGAGAAAAGTTTCTGTTGCTCAACATACATTTACTTTCGTGTATTTGCCGATAGATGATATTACTAGTTGCTAAATGGTTATCAATACCTGAAATTTATAGCCTAACCTGAAGCTTTTGAACACTTCAAATTTTAAAAAGATATCATATATCTGTGTACATCTCGTATTCCTAAATGTACGGCATGGCAGAGCATAGGGTTGGAAATCTGGAGGTGACTGGTTCGAATCCGGCCACGGTTAGAATTTTCTTTTCACCTTCAATCATTACCCAGTATAACTTCCTAAATGTGTTCACAAATCTTGTAATTTACAAACTTCAATCCGTTTAGTTAAAACAAAAAAGCCAACCTTCCATGGCTTTGAAATTAGACATTTGTATTACAGTTGAACAAGATAAACACAGAAAAATGTAGTCCGAGGTGGTGTAGCTTTCTTTATCATTCATGACAGAAGTGTAGTATGAAGACTACTACTATTACTACTTTTCCATTAAAATACCTTCAAAATCTAAAGTTATTTGAAAACTCTTTCAAGTAACAAAAAGGAATAAAGAACAACGCCGATTATTCTGTATTTCGATACCCACTCTTAAGTTATTGATTACTAGCTTATAAGCCAGTATTGTGGTGAGTCAATTCAGTAGTAACCAATGAGCTCATGATGGTCATTTATTATGGAGTACAGTGTTCATTATAAGTGGTATTCCCCAGATTTACAACTCATCATATTACTTGTTATTTGAAGGCTAAAACAGTTAAATATTCTGATTTTTAGCTATTAACAATAATGCTATGCTTCAAATGAGATGAAATTTAAACACCGAAAGAGTATTTCTTAAGAGAGCTTCCTACACTACAGCAGAACTGTAGTTCATTGGCTTAGGCAGGTGACTTTCAACCAGTGTACAGTGGACTCAAACTTGGTTCCCTTTAACGACGTTTACACAGTCTGGTAGTATAACTAAAGCTTGCCCAATAAATGTGGATGCGACATATAGTCGCTAATTTTTACCTTTATGAACACTACACTAAGACTGTAAAAGAAAACATTTGGTAAATATCAACACACATAGCTAGTTAAACTCAAGAGATACCTAAGAGTTATTTAGATAAAGTTGCAGTATGCTACATCCTAGTTCTGAGAAAACATCGTGACCTATAGGGTTAACCAGAGTGGGGGTGATGATGGATGCCCATCAATGACAGTCGGTGATAGTCGCACTATATTACCAACTCACAGAAGTTGAAAAACGTGAAGTGTTGCATTTCAGTCCACTGGCTGAATGGCAACATGTTCATTGTAAGACTTGACTATGCTAGGTTTGATCATTTCACGGAATTATCGACGAGCATTTCTGATTAGTCCAAAACTAGGATGTAACACCTACCCAGTTTTCTATGGCATTCAGCGAGGTCAGAAATATTGAAGTCAATAATAGTGACGCCTCATATTTTGATTGGTAGGAACTTATTGACTGATTGTTAACCTTTATATTACCTATACTGACGGTTTATTATCTGAAGGCCAGGTGATAACTGTATCACTTTGATCTTATTCCTGAATGACTTTAGAAGCCACCCCAATAACAAGTGAAATAACCAATCAAGCTTCTTTATTTTATGAAAATTTGCCTTTCCAGAAAATTTAAAGAAACTTAATTGGTTATTTTAAATGTTATTAGAATGACCTTTAAAGTGTCTTTTAGCGAGTAGTACTCTAAATAGAATGGTCTTAAAGGCTACCTAAGCAACAGTTAAGACAATCAATGATGTCTTTGTATTTTACAGAAATCTAACTTATTAGGCAAAATACCGAAACTTGATTGGTTGTTCCACCAGTTGCTAGGGTGGCCTTTAAAGTGACTTTAAAGGCTACCCTAGTAACTACAAAAATAACTAATCAGGATGTGACATTTTACCTCAATAGACAGTTTTTCACGGAATAAAGAAAAGTGATGAATTATTTCAGCAGTTGTTAGGGTGGTCCTTGAGTCAGCCAAGGAAAAAACTTACCTTCCCAGCCAAAATAGAAAAACGCAATTGACTATTTAGGTCGCTGCTAGGTGGTCATTGAAGTGAGTGACTTTCAGAGTGCCTCTAAAGGTCACCCTAGCAACAATCGGGCAACTTTAAAGGCCATCGCAAAAACTACTAAGATAACTAACTACTCTTTTGTGTTTTATAAAATATGCGGACGTAGATGATATATGGAAGCCTGATTGGCTATTTCGGCAGTAACCAGGGTGGCTTTAGGAGCACTTTTAAAGTCATTCCTAAAATCTAGTGTCTTTAAGTGCCGCCCTAGTAACAAGTGAAACAATGAGTTAGATTTCCCTATTTTACTGGTAGGGCTGGTTTTCATAAAATAACATAATTTTATTGGTTATCACAGTCACAACCAGCATTATTGTTGTTTTAGCCTCCCATCATTTAATCATATAAGTTTCAATATAATCTCACAACGTGTTTAAAAAAAAATCAAAAACAAGGTTTTTCTGAATGTTTCGCTGTGTATATTATCACAGCTCCTTCAGCAAAATATCTCATTGTATGAGTTTAATCTTCGTCATGGATCACAGTCTTCAAATAAACATATATATACGAATGTACAGTTTGAAAATATAGTTCGTTGAAAAGAATCCTCTTAGCGGAATGTCTTGTTTTTGAGTTCAGCTGTTGTTGGAGTAGTAGTAGCCTTTACAGTCACTCTTCAAACCAAACTTTATTACTGTGAAAACCGAAATAACTCTAAAATCCAACCTAGCAATTACATTTCAAATTTTTATGAAAAAATCACCTTTCCATACAAAATATAGAAATATAGTTGGTTTTTGCGGAGGTTGCTGAAGTGAACTTTAGAATTGAAGTTGCTTTAAACCCCAACCATAACAACTGGTGAAATAATCAATTACGTTCTTCAATCCTAAAAAAATATTGGCATCTTAGCCAAAATACCGTAGACCTATTAGTTATTTCAATAGTTGTTAGAGCGGTCTGTAAAATCAATCTTAAAATCACTTAAAATCAAGCCCATGTTCAATTTAAAGTCACAACGAACAGTCGATACCGATTTACAATATAAGTGATGATTAGACCAAAACCAATAAAAGTACTGAAAAGTGAACTAGTTAGAGTTCAGAGGGTATCAAAATACGACAACTAGACATTTCTGTACGTTATCAAGTACCTATTACAATGAAGAGAATATTGACACAGATATCCAGTGTGGTTAGGCGAAGCAAAACAATCAATATCAAATCAACTCATGTGTGTGCTTGACGAATGTTTTTACAGAAGTCACTGTGTACAGTGATGTATAAAAATAAACTGCTACTTTTCACAGGTGACTTTAAAGGCCACCCTAGCAACTGCTGAAATAACCAATCACGTTCTTCAATTCTATGAAAAATTATCTTTCCAGACGAAATCATGACATTTGATTGGTTAGTTTATCAGTGGCTAGGATGGCCTTTGAAGTCAGTCCTATTCACTGCTTGCCAATTCATGCATTTGTACTGGATGATGATTGAAGGTGAGATGAAAATCCAGCCGCGGTCCAGATTTTCATCTCACCTTCAATCATCACCAAGTATAAATACTAGTCTGCCAAACTACGGCTATCGCAGACAGTCAAATCATAATTCATGCATACTTGTTTACGCGCTACGAGTTTTTAGATAAAAAATTTTCATAGTTCAAGCATTAAAGAAATGACCGACTATTACAAAAATCAATAGGAATACAAGTATACATGATAGGGGATTTAAGCCTTTTTGCCAGACTCAATAGGGAAGTGAAAATACTACTAATCATGGACTGATATCAGTTGGCGAAACATTAGAAACCTGAGAGCACTGAACCGCTGTTCCGTCCTAATATGGGACTCCTCAGCACCGCGCAGCCACAACCCCAACAGGGATCGAATTCAGGACATTCAGGTTCTGAGGCTTGTACGTCACCATTGAATTACTGGGTCGGTCCATATTTCCTATTTCATTCAGTTCAAAATATAGCGCGACTTCAATCCAATGCCGTCTTGGGTGGTATATATTCACAGTAAACATATTTTGGTGAGTATCCAACCTTTGCAGCCTAGAAGAAGAGTGAGATTGTTTCACTATGTGATTCATCTGGCAAACAAATTATCATGGTAGTGAAAACATGACTGAATGTCTAGTGTACACCCATAGAAGATTTTCACATGACAAAACTGTGAAAAATTGTTGTATGAGGAATAGTAAAGTACATTGAATGACGTTCAGCTTTTAAATCTTGTCTGTATAATCAACAATTAGTAAATGCTAAGATTATCGTTTACTAAAACAACCGTTAAAAATCACCAGAAGAGAAATCCATCAAACAAAATATATAACACATATAGTATGATAAAAGCAAATGATTGACGAATTCAGTCAAATAGGTGAAACCTACCTCTGGTGCCAAATATCGTGGTGTACCAATTTGAACTCCACCTATAGGCCACCAGCTTAAGAGTTCCAGTTTATCAAAAAGGCACTGATTACCATCCTCCACAAATATACAACTGCATTTATCAGAAGACCTGATATTCTGGTTGCAAGATAACCAAGACTCTACATTAAAACTGTCTTCTATCAAGCAGTCTTTAAGTAAAATATTAGCTGAATGATTGTTGACTAGAAGATCATTCTCAGTTTTTTGGCAGACAGTAATTTCATGTGACTGATTATTAAAACCTACAGGTTTATCCAAAAATTTTACATACTGTTGATAAAGATTATGTAAATGATATGTAGAAATTGAAAGTGGATATGGTGGTGATCGGATAGCCAATTCAATATCACTAATGCAACATGACCAATCTGATCGAATATATATATTGGATGGCTTCAAATTTCGATGAGCAAGAGCTGGTTTCCCTCGGGTACCAGAGAATTCTAGGCAAGAAAGTAAATTAAAGACACATTACATGGAATTTTAAATAGTCATGTGTATATCAACGTTAAGCTGTAATGATGACTGACGAGGAGAAGAAGAATAGTCATAGTATTTTGACTGTCATAATTTATGGAAGTAATACATTTCGCATAAGAATGCGTCGCCACTGTCATAAGTTCATGCAAACCGGATATAAAAGATAAAGTCTATCAACTAAAATATCACCGCAAGCATCAAACAACTACATTTGTATATACATATGCATCAACGTTACCAATGATTTGTATATGAGTAGAAAATAAAAGTTTTCGAAATAAATAATTTATACTGATTATATCAAAACGTAAAGCAAACTAATTCTCTTAGAAGAAAATCTTTTTCATAGGTGGTCTTAGCTGCAGAAATTCCATCTAAATTGACAAACAGATAAAATGAAAGTATTACAAATATCTTTACAGTATTCTATTGATTCAGGATGCTACACTTTATAACATCATATGAAATTCAACAAAGAACTAACATGAGTGAAATGAAGATAAATAAGGATGATATGGTCAGGATTGACTATATGAAAACAGTCTGTATACTAGTATCACTCTGTTCAGTTCTCAACCAATACTATTTTTAATCTAATTACCCAATGGATTTTACGTCCAGTCAAGATAAAAGCTTACTACACATTCAGATACATCTGATATTCACAGTCAGTAACTGAACAGATACGTACTTCGTCTTGCAGCAGCCACTATCATATATTTTCATCCAACTTCTATTACTGTCAAATCACATGTGACTTGGCAGACGTAATAAGTAATCTAGCCAATTCTGTCATTGATAAAAAGCAAAATTACTTGATACATATTTAACTTTTAATGAGCATAAAAGAGAAAAGCCAGCAGAGTTGTTGATGGAGACAGATACTAAAAATCTATGTTCATTCAAAGGTTAGATAGAGCGAATCTCTTAGTCTTGGCATCAGAAATTTTTCAGTTGTCTTATTTGGCTCAGTTATCGGTAACACGATGGACAACAACGCTGAGTGAAGCAGTTTACACTTCCGAGTTTCTTAAACTTTACAGATAACTTGTTGATGAGCGCTAACAAACGGAGAATACAGGTCTTGAGATTTCTGCTTATCACCTCCAAATATTTAACACGAATTCAACTAACGGACTGACTAATTGCAAAGACGTTTTCACCACTGAATGAAACCAACTGGGGAACTATTATAAATCTAACGACACTGAAGTGCCGTTTTGCCAAAGCTTGGAACAATTCAGCAGCTTACACCTCTCCACCCTTAACACCGTGAAGTATCTCGTGGTGAGCACGTTACCATTCTAATAAGGAGTTGTGATATCTGGATTCCGACAAATCGAAAATGACGACGGACATCTGTCGACGATATTGGGTGCTCGTCATTCTATATCACTAACTGACAGAAGCTGGAAAATACGGATCATTGTATCCCAACTAAGCGACTGAATAGTAACTTGTTTGCCCTCAGATCTAATTTTCCCAAGCCTCATCTTACACTAGTATGGGGGTGCACACTATTGATAAGTCTCAAGCCAAGAAGAAGCTGTTGCCTAGAATTACCAGTCATCAAATAATTCAGCAACTGACTTGGATGCATAATAACAACTTTCAAGTTATATATAAATACTGTTTGTGTATAAATAATAGAAATTTTGAGATAAATATCGTCGTAATATCCACAGCATGTATCAATTTAGGTAACATGTGACCATGAAATACCAATAGGTGGATATTCATTCTGATTAACGATAGGATTATTGTGACTCGTACATCGAAATCTACTATGAAGTAAACATATTCATCCTACAAGGGAATTTACAGAGTTAAATTGAACTACTCCAAAGGTCTACATTTCTACCCCTTAGGCATAGCTGAAGCATAATAACCGGAAACTGTGCGTTCAAGATCATTTTGCGAAAACACTTTCTCTACCTTCGCGTTAACAACTCCTTTTTTGTTAGTTTGTCAATTTCATTTCATACTGGGTAATGATTTAAGATGAAATGAAAATTTGGACTGCGGTCGGTTACGAACCAGCGATTACCGGCTTCCCAGTTCGATGTTTTACTAACTGAGCTACGAGGTAGTCACTGAATTAAAATCCGGTCACCGTCTAAATTTCCATTTCACTTTCAAGCATAACCAGGTACGAATACTAGTCTGTCAAACCACAACTATCTCAGATAGTCAAAATGATCATTTCAATTCAATTCACCTTGTATACTTCACTTTTATTATCATCGCTTTACACTTCACTGAAACAAGAATGACGTCACAGTGAGAGAATAAACAATTTGACGATAGCGGTCATTGAGAATATTTAGGCTCTAAAAGATGTCAAGGAGTAAAAACATCCTTGCCACTGTCGCTGATTTTCAGCCATGTTCCCAGGGGTCCTAAAACACTGATCCCTTTCATCTCAGGAACCTCAGTTAGACAGTCTACGTCTCTCCAGACTACTCGTACTAACAGTAAGAGACTTCATTGACTGGTGCCAAGTCTTGGTTTGTTATTTAGGAGCGATATATTATTCTAAAACCACGTTTGTAGTTATAACAAAAGTACATGGATACCGAAACTAACCTGAATGTAGGAAGCACAACCCTTGAACCAAACTGTTTGCAATCTTAAGTAATATATTTAATCGAATAAAGCTTGAATTATTCAAGCCAGCCGATTGATAGTTCGTACATGCTATCATGTCAAAGTCATCTTGACTGGCACCATCAGCTTGATGTGTAAGGGACACTAAACTTTGACCAGTGTTTGATAAGAAGTCTTTCAAAGTACCAAAAAGACAATATTCACTGATAAGCAGAGCACACGGTGAAGGAACAGTCTGAAATATATATGAATAGCTACTCCTCAAAACAGAAAGATGTTCTTCTGTAGGATAATTTAACCAATCGAAAACCATTAAACCATGAATTGACTGATGTCGAAGCAACATTGAATGATGTAATAAAACAGTTCGGCGCCAAATGGCATTGGCCAAACGATCACTGGATCGAAACACTCTGGCGGTAATTTCTTCTCCTTTCCACATACCTGATGGTAGAATTATTCAGATATGAAAAGCAAACCCTCCTTTACACCACTCTCACATGCATATATAATAATAGAATATTAAGGATGTTATAAATGAAAATATGTCATTAAATTTTAGTATTCAACTAGCTGTTAAGTTCATTTCGATGAAAACAATTAGATGTTAATGACAACGGTAGTCCAACTAGCGGTTAGTTTAGATGCATTTGCACAACTTAAAACTCTGTTGGTTAACAGTTACACAAGTCAGATTAAAAAAAGAGGAGAATGTAACAATGCTAGGCTGAAAAAATTTAAATACAGTATTTCTACTATCAGCATAGGTATTTCGTGATTCTAGTAAAATATATGCCAGACTATACATTAGTAAATGTCCGAATAGCTTTTACTGACTTTCACTTACACGATACAAACAATGCGTGATCAAATTTTACCAACCAGTAAGTATCATCGAGAATATGTATACATACATATCTCTTGACTAATTTTTTTTCGATGGACGCGCTAGTAGTCTCTTCATAGCTGACTTAACCTTACCTCGCAACTATTTCTTCTTGTAGCCAAAGTGCGACGATCTGAGGCTCCTATTCAACGTTAACGCTTAACCTGTTATCCTGAATAAGTTCACACAAATGAATAGCGTAGTATCGTCTTTCAGATGAAGATATCTTGATACGGTTATGAACAGCAACAATAATACCACTGTGTGATGCATCAAATAATCCAAAACACTTAATTCCAGTGCACCAATGCACGAACGTCCACATAGTTGCTGAATGTATTTCAATTCGGGTTATGGCTGATGACCAGTTTTGTTATTTTTGACCAAATATACTGGTCTGTATGAGTGTCACGATGTTTTACTCTATTGTCCTAGCCCATTTGTGCCAACAGCCAAGATTTTTGTGGCTTTTATCAACTTAGTAGGAAAAATAGTTCAAAATTTAACTGAGTTCTCATATTCTTTCAACTTTTTTGATGTTTATTGCATACTTTGATCTTAATACAGAACCCAAAGCTACTACATGATACTTGGTTATTCAAAGAGTGTCTTCTAACTAAACATTTTGAATCTTTAGGCCAACTGCACTGGTTTTCAAATGGATTTTTAGGCTTATATGAAAACCTAGTCATAGAGCCATAAACTATTATTTCTATGGTTTGCAAACTTTTTATTATACAAAAATGCAATAAAAGCTTGGAATTCCACCTTATCTTGATAAAAGTCAAGTTTATATTGCAACTTGTCGTTTGCTTATGAGTTTATACAAACTTTCCAGAGAAATTCGGAATAAATTCCCTGAGTAGTGGTGTTTGTCACACTTATTCCCCTTCTTGATATACATTTTTTAACTAACGGGATTACTGCGATGATTAGTTGGACTCTTCACAAAACTTGTTGCAAACGATATTAGGTAAAATAAAGGTTTTTTGAATGCCAGTATCAAAACTGCCGCTTTGTTTTTTAGCATGACCTGTCCGCCTTGTTAATTTTTTCACTTGTAAGCAAGCTTGATTGTAACAAAGCCCGCTGACCATAGTAAACGATTTCCAATCAGTGGGGCACAGGTTCAAGCCAAGCGTTATGCATTAACGTTTAGGCAACAAGTTAGCATTACTTGGTCCCACACAACGGATATCGTAGTTTGTCTAATGAAAGAACACTTACATGGTCACTGGATTATATTTTGTCTTTTCATTCTATAGTCTCACATGAAAGAGGTTATTCTACTAATACTAGCTTAGTAAACCACGGAAAAAGTCTGTAAGAAATACTGATATAAAGATAATTTATATTCTCAAAATGACTGAAGAAGTAATGACTAACAAGATCATTAAATAAGATAGACATTTTTTAACGAAGACTTTAGTTTTTTAAGTGATAGAAGAACAGTATCAATGCAGATAAAGTAAAAGAGCTTGGGTTATCTGAAGGGAATAAAAGTATTTACTTACCGCTCCAAACATCTGAGTCTCGTTTAATACCAAGAAGGCTTCTCAGAATTATTTGTCTACTGACCGTCTGAGGAATTAAATGTACCCTCCCATTATGAAATAAAAGGTTTGATGGAGACTGCATTTTGTTAGCCGTCGTAATGTCAGCATTGTGTGTTAAATCAGAAGACAGAGTGTGCAAACTTGACCTAGTATCTGATTTGCCTGAATTCTGAACCCTTGGAATGATAGCATATACTGCATGTAGGTTGCTGTCATGAAAGTGAGTGTTCTTTAACTCAGCATCGCATATCGTTCCCAGATTTGACTGTTTTGCCATAAAATAATCATGATTGAATTTAGAAAGATAATGCTGTTTCTTCCGCATACCACGTTTATAGGCAAAACAAATAGATGCAAAAAGGAATGACAATAAAACGAACACCAAAATGAACGTGGCTACCAGTACAATCTGGAGGAGATTTGGCATTCTAAACTCCGGCTTCACATCCTTTTGCCCCGAAATAGGACTCTGAATATCGTCATTAGGCAAAATTCCGACCGATGAACGACCAAATAACATGTTCGGGCCGATATTCTTGTACGGCTTTAGACGATTACTTCCACTTGCAGATTTAACCTGTCGCCAAACACCACTCCTTTCAAGATATCCAAGGGCACTCTTTACTGCGTTTATATCCTTAGTATGATGGTAGAATTTAGGAAAGAGACCGGCGTTACACATATCGTGGGAGTTGCAACACTCAATAGCTTGAGGAATGGCATGTTTAGTCAGATGACTGCTGCAAGAAAGGACCATCTTATCATGTGAGTCAAGACATCCATATATTAACTGTATAAAGGTTTCCAGCTTTTCATCGTTAGAGATAGATCTGAAGGATGAGTTCCCAAAACCATCAACATCAACCATCTTTTTAGAGCGAAAATAATTCCCCAAAGACTCCTTATTTATTACACGTGCAGTATAGCATTTCCCCCCAGACCTAATCGTGCACCGCCCCACTTCATTGCGTCTTGTATTTGTGAGGTCACCTGATTTTCTTATACATTGAGAGTTGTCGTTGCAAAAACATACCAACTTATCAGGTTTTATGTTGACGCCTTCTGTGATCATAGATAATAATTAACAAAACAAATCGCTATTGTAAAAATTTTTCGCATGGGTGAGAGTTCCAGAGCACATACGCTGGATATACGTCTCATCATCAATCAGAAACGCGGAAAACTACAAAAGCAATCAGATGCAGCGCGTAGACCAAGGCTGCACTGCAATATCCAATGTCTCTCTAACGAGCTTTAGTAAAACTGTTTGTTTTCTTTTTGCTCTCTTGCTAATCTTGCAGAACGATTTCAGATCTCCGGCGGATTCCGACGCATTAGATCCAGCCAGTCGTCTGTTATGGCTTTGGTATACAGAACTGGAGGTTAAGTGTTGGTCAGTTCACCTTGGACTACGGTACAGTTGCCTTCTTCAGATGTCGAGTTGTCAGATATCTGTTTCTACTGGTCGTTAGAAAGAGTCATGGATGGTGAAGAGAAATCTAGAAAGGAAAACTTATGTGAGTAAAAGGGAAAATAAAAGCAAGCTAATGGAGTAATCTACTTACACTGAAGGCGATTGGGGGTAGGAAGGTATGAAGAACTTAGGTAGGTAAGGCTAACTCATGACAAGTGGAAGAGATGAAAAGGGCTTAAATGGTTACGGCAGAAAGAAAGCAGGCTGAAGAGTTAAAATAGTTGGAATGGCGTGACATCAGTTGATTTCTTCCGCTTATCTCGTGTTCCAGTTATATGTGGGTAGACCATGAGTCTAGCCTCTTCTTGAAGCTTCCAACAGACGGGGTGGAGACTACCTCTGCCGGTAATGCAGTCAAGTGCCCGCAGAATCGGAGGGGAAAGAGGTGTGAACGCACATGAGTTTTTGGACTTTGGTGGGCAATTCTCTTAAGGCTCCCACGAGGATCACTGTATTCGCCACTCGGTAGTAATCCGCTATTCAGGTGACTCGGGTTGTTTAATATTTTGTAGGCCATTACCAAGTCACCTCATAACCTTCGGTAGCTAAGAGAGTATAGGCCTAGGTCGTTCAGTCTATCCTCATGTGGTTTTCGCTGCATCCCAACAACCCCTTTCGTGGCTTGCTTCTGAACTTTCTCCAGTAGGTTCGTGCCTCTTGAGAGATATCGCTGCAAAAACATACCGACCTATCAGGTTTTATGTTGACGCCTTCTGTGATCATAGATAATAATTAACAAAACAAATAGCTATTGTAAAAATTTTTCGCATGGGTGAGAGTTCCAGAGCACATACGCTGGATATACGTCTCATCATCAATCAGAAACGCGGAAAACTACAAAAGCAATCAGATGCAGCGCGTAGACCTAGGCCGCACTGACAGAATAGTTACACTAAAGTAGTTACTGTGCAAAAGTACCAAGCAGTTTGTTACCTGTGAGCTACAATAGACCGACGAAGTCCTAGGTAAGCAAAACTTGTGGTTTCCGAACGGAATAATGTCTTGACAGTTTCAAATCCATTCAGTACAGCTATTGTATCCGTGATAGGCCAAGTAAATGATTGAATGTTCATTTGATTTTTAGGAGGACAAGCGGTTCAGGAGTGGTAAATTTTGATATGACTTAGGAAGGAAAGTGGTAATCCCAACGGTTACTACAAGTGGATCAAGTAGAGGAATAACAACTGCGTGAACAAAGATAATAACCAGATCATCTTTAAGAATCAGAAGGTCTAGTTTTGCGTGTAATGAAAGTAAAAGTTTAGGGGTTCAGAACAAAAACCTAATGGATGAAAAAGAAGTAGAAAGCCTATCGCGATGCTAGTCTCCTCGTGTCAGCTTATTCAAACGCAGTCTAAGTGCGTGTCTTATGTTTCACTGCATACTTGCTTAAACCATTATGGATCTGTGATATATACCGTGATGGCTAAGTCGCCTGGCGACGGAGAGTCGGAAACTCAGCAACGAAGCCGGAAAATCATAACTGCAAGCGGGGATTTCTCCCGCTGCAGTCCAGAAGAATAGTTTTGTCTCTATGGGCCGGAAAGAGTCTTGTTATCAGTTTTCCGGCCGCTACTATGAGGGGTGGGCTACTGACGTGTCTGATCACATAAACTGTTGCCATGCAGAAACAAAATGACGATAATATGAACACTATGTGAAAGGCTTTTCCAGTTTCTTCGACGAGCTTTGCTTTGTCTAAGACGTTAAGTCTAAGCTTACCTCATCAGCTTTTTAGGGTTGCTTTCAGGGCTAGTTCTAAGCTTTTTTCCTATTGTGTGGGCCATGTTTCCATCGACGATCAGTGAAAACAACATGTGTACTAGAGGAAGCTGCTGATTTCCCATATGAGCCGGCATGTCCTGTTGATGGCACTGATGGCTGGCACGATGATCCGTGTGAAGGCACGACCAGGCAGAGTACATGAAACTCAGTAAACCTGAGTATAAGTTTTGCTACAGACCCTGCAGGTCACAAGTCATATACACCCTTCAGGAGACCTCCAACGAGCCGGCGATTTTTAAAATAAACAGGCTGATCGGGAGAAAAAAGGCATATGGAAGACGAAGGAAGGTACAAGGCGACAGGAAGTTGGAATCTCTGGCAGATGGGAGGGAGGGATAATTTCAAAGACAGATAGATTCGGGAAGAACAGTTGGTTTGATGACATGACACAAATGAGCACCACTGTCACCCAAAATCTCCTAGTTCTCCAACACTTTTATCGTACCTGGAAATGCCCATGAAATTATTGTCCCGAAAGGCTGCTGCAGATGCAGGGCGGACTCATGTAAGTCGAAACTGAAACAGTACAACTTGACTCAGATTGAGCCTAGGTATCGATAGCCTCCAGATACCCGAGGGCGGAAAACAAATGGTTAGGACAGTCATTTATACGGTAGAGGTAAGTAGGAAGAAACTGGAAGTAATGCCCGAACCTGATGAAGGCACTACCGAAACCAGAACTCCAGGAATGTGTCAGGTAAGAGGTTCAAGGGTTTCCACCGGCCGAACATTATCGCAGGGCAGAAAATCACACAACTGCCCACCACGATGCTGTAACCCTCACTTTTGTGGAGGAATATCCTGGTGTCCCACACAGTCTTTCGGGAGAAGGATTACAATATCCCTTGGAACAACGCATGTAGTCAATAAGGCTGAAACCAATCAAATCCGCTGCTTAAGTCATCCCCCCTTGGTTCGAGCTCAGACGAAATCCGAAACCCAATGCCTTTGAGATTAAGGTTCTCCAACTCTGAGGTGAATGAAGATACACTGTTGGCATCCGACAAGATTATTTGCAAATACAGGATAAGGATTGCAAAAGAACCTCCAACTTCTCAACACACGAACGGCTAACAGCTCGCGGGCGAGGATCGGGAAGCCGGTTTTCAAGGTAGGAACTTTGTGGTCTAAGGATTTAGAGGAAAACATGGTGTTAGTAGAATCTCACAAGAGCCACGGGGGAAACTTTCTCAAAGCTCGTGTGCCGCAAGGGTGAGGCCACACAAAATCGGTCACGTTCGCTTAAAAATGGTGAGGATTCAAAACCCAGGTTGATCTGCTCAGTGCCCCTGCCTGCTGTATAGCGGTAGCCCCACTGAAAGCTTTCTGGGCCAGTACACATCGTCTGCTGCCTGGAGTTTAGATGCGTCTGAATAGGCCGCAAAATGAATTGTTTCAAAGGAATCTAGACCAACGGAAATTGGTTTTTCCCTTTGCAGATTGCCTACCACTGAGGAAGGAGGACGGAACAAAAACCTGAGCCAGCTTCTAGTTAACGATTTTGGTCTTTCTTGCAACACACTGGAAGCCTCTAAAACACCACCAACTGAACTGCATCTACAGACTGGTAACTCCGTCCAGACACGTGAGGTAGGCGTGCTTTAAAAAGCGGAAATTCGGTCGCCTATTTAATGGTCACCCCATTAGCGTCATAAAGAGGTTGATCCTTTCTGGAATCACAGTTCAAGATTCGTTTGTCAGAGAGGTGGGTGAATTGGAATTACGTCACTTTTGTCAGAACCAGTCAATTCGACAGGCGAGAATTCGACCGCATACATCAATAGCGTGACCCCCATAAGTCTGTCTAGGGGAAAAAGTTGCCCAGTGAGAATGGTAGATGGAAAGCCGACTCCAAATCACTTATACAGTGAATGCTTTTGGCCGCTCCCCGAGACTTTTCCATACACGTATTTATTTAAGCCGATTTAGGTCATTTTCATAAATAACATGAGCATCTAAAGCCACGAATACAACGTTGCTGGACCATTTATTAGTGCTGAGTGACTTGGGTTAAATGAAAATGTAAGCTTAGCAACCTAATAGAGAACTAATCGAAATCTATATTGTTTGGAGCTTATTGTGAGGGACAAGTGCTTGGTGGATAACCTTGCAGTCTCCTTCATGTGGCAAAAGTGACCATCCCATCATAGAGTTTGAACAAGTTTGCTAGAAATAGAGAGGACCGCTTCAATAAACCAGTGCCGCCTGAAATTCTGACCACTTGAAACTATAGTTTATAAAAATGCTGTGAAACCGGCGGATTGGGACCACTTCACTCGCTTCACTCTAAGCTCCAGTATGTTACAGAAGTAGTATGCGGCTGCACTAATAAGCTTCTGAGGTAGAGTAGGCATCCTGCACATGGCATAAGTAAAGCGGCTGCGAGTTTACCTGTAGCTGTTTCAACTAAACGATAAATCTTGGCACCAAAGCCTTGAGAGATGTTCAAAAAGGTATCGGTCGGAGCTCACCAATTTTTTGTTTTAAACCCAAAAGGCTCTTCACAATATACACCATAGTTCCTCCAAACCAGGGCAGAGGTTTCCTACCTAATGGGTTTATTCGTAATGATGGTAAGGTGGAAGATGCCTGAAGTGGTCAATATAAACAAACTTTCTCGTCATCAGCAGTGCTGGCAGGACCTTTAAGCCATCCAACAGGAGCAGCAAGATCGTCAGCCGTTGATCTGTGCGTCGATCAAGCGCAGCAAAAGCTGATCATCTTAAGAAGGAAAACGTCTCTACGCCTGAAGGTAATCGACGCTGCCACCGTTCAATACGGGCCTGCTTTTTCCACCAAGCGCCCCTGTCAGTGCAGCCGTGGTCGTGAACTGTGAATAAAACCACTGCAGACCCCTAGAATACAATTATTGAAAGTCAAAGTCCAGAACAACACAGGGCAAAACTCTGGTATCTGGAACCAAAGTTTATTTGTGCAGGTGACCACGGCGTTGCAACATAAATGACCTCCAT